TCATGAGTCACAAGGATTTTTAGAGAAAGAGAAAAGAACGGGAACAATGGGAGCCCTGAGAACAGGTTTTGGTTGTCTTGAGATCAGCTTGAGATGGCACCTCTGTCGGTGCAGCCCTGGCTGCTCCACCCCGCTCCCCTCTGGACCTCCCAGTCCTACATCCCTGCTGCTCTGTCACGTTTTCCCAGTCCTTTCCAAAATGAGAGGAGCGTCGATACTTGGTACCAAGGTTTTGAAATGTGGTGATGCCAGGAGTGTGTGTGCGACCATGTATTATCTGCCTGTGGGGGAAGAAATCCTGAACTCCCATGTTCATTTGGGGAGCCAGCCTCCTATCTCTTCATCTAGTCCTGTTTCCTCTTGAAATGCTGGATGTTAAAGATTCAATGAACAACAGAACTCAAAATAGGAACAAGAAGCAATTTTGTCCAGCCCTTCTCAGCATTCAGAATGGTTTTAATCTGTTACCCCCATGCTGGCAAGGGAAAACTGACAAAGTCAAACTGCAGTTAAAGCCAAACTGCAGTCAAACCTTTCAACAGAGAGGGATTTTCTTTTCATCCAGCCCCATAAAAGCACGTCCAGTCTTGCTTGGCCACATGCATTAAAGCTCTTCTCCAAGTATAGAAGAGTACAGGAACTAAATTCATATTGCACTGGCTCATTATATACCTAAATGCAGGAGGAAAAAAACATGATCCAATGCAGTAAGAATTACTTTTTAGACGGGAAAAGAGTTAAATCCTTGTAAAGAGATAGAAAAAGGCACCTTTCAAAACACGGAAGCAGTATCTAAACAAGGCAAGCAGAAAATAATGTAAATTGTATAAATCTGTGGTTTCACCTTCATCCTAAGCCCTGCCTGCAGCTGCAATCCCCTCGCCTACCGAAGGTCTGGAGTGAGGGAGAAGGTCAATGAGGATGTCCAGTGAGATGAACAGCACCTGCACACCACGGCTAAGACTGCACAGGGCTCTTCAGCTGAGAAAGGATGGCTGCAGGGCTGACAGGCAAGTGTTCTGCACAAAAAAACCCAGGCTTTTGCCCCTCCAAAATATATTCCAGCAGTGCAGGTGAGCACTGTGGATCTGAATAGCTCTGCAGGTAATGACTAACATGGCAGCTAAAGCAGTGACTCAGAGACAGCATCCGAGGGAGTCCCCAGGCTACTGATGGCTGGGAGCTGGCAGATAGAACCAGCAACTATCATTACACACTTGCCTTGTTCTTAGATTCTCTCCTTAGACACTGACAACTGTTCCCTGTCAGGAACAGGAGAGAGGCTTGATGACTGCAGTCAAACCAGCGAGGCTCATGCTCACATCCCCAGCAGCTCTACAGCCGGGGCAGGATTGTACTAATGTGCCACTAACAGAAGCAGAAATCCATCCTTCAGGCATGTCTTACTCTCTGCTGCAGATTCAGATCCACAGCAGGGATAACCTGAGCAAGCATTCCCTCCTTCCAGCTCCCAGGGTGGAGAGCATGACCAGCAGCTCCTTTCAGGGACCCAGGGAGATGAGTACCAGCTACCATGCTCCATTTGCAGACAAGTTAAGAGACAAACAAGCAGTAATGACATTAATTAAAATCACCAGATTGGTACTGCTATCACTGCAGATGCAAGAAGCTGTTGGCAGCTGCCCACATTCATCCTCTGCCTTCAGGCAAAGCAGTGCAGCAGAGCTGTGCCCAGGGCACCATCAGCATCAGGTTTTAGCCCCAATGGCTCTGCTGCCCAGGCAAGGGGCAGAGGAGGACAACTGTCACCTCTGCAACTGAGAGAGCCAAGACAGAGGCCTGGTGCCTGGGACAGTCAGGAAAGAGCCTGGGCAGAGCCCTGTGACAGGCACAGATAAATATAATCACCCTCCCTGGCAATGGTCCCTTCGTGAATGTTTACAAACAGTTCAGTACTTTTCCACGTTAAGAAGCTTGTTTTTCCAGATGCCTTGTATCGGATGGGTTTTAATGCGTATAGTTAATCCCTTCTCACAGAGTCTTTCATAATAAACATCACCCCCTGACCTGACTAATAACTATGTAACACTATGCTTTTGATTTTTTTTATCTCCTGCCCAGGTTGTCAAGAGAAATGCAAGTTTCTCTGGGACAGCAGCTCCCAGAGAAATGGGGACATGACTTAGAGAAGGGCAGGACAGGTTGGTGGGTCCACACACACATGAACTCCACTTCCCCAACCCATCATCCAGCATGGCCATCCCTCAGGACATGCCTACACCCACTGCAGCTCTTGATAAAGCTGCAAGCCATGTGTAAACCTGGAGTTTGAGTTATTGTTTGAAAAGACGTGTCTAGACCCAAAATGGCTGGGGGTCCAATACTTGCTAATACATTAATTCTGCTCTCCCTATTATTCTCCTGTGGTTACCATCCACCGCAGGATGGACAAAAGAAAAGGTGATTCACTATTTCATGTGAAGTAGTTTGATGGCGCAGTTTGTGTTTTACATTTCTCAGTACTTGCTCCAACAGGACATGATGCCTGTCCCAGCCTATGCCTGAAATCCTCCAGTGTTCCTCAAAGGATGTGCCAAACCCCGCAGTGCTTCACAGATGATAAGCAGCACATCCCACACATGGACCAGATACATTCATGGGTGCTCACAGAAAGAGAAGTTGGGTCACTCATGGAAAAGTTTAGAAGATGCTGTTGGAGAAGAAATTCATACTGGAGTGACCTCCAAACCATCTCCCTGTACTGCTGCAGGTCCTGGGGTGATACTATATCCAACCTCCAGCCATCTCCTGACCCCTGAGTTTCAGCTAGTATTGATTTCCAGCAGACCAAGACACTAGCAAGTGCAGGGGCAATTCAGTGAGGGGAGCACAGCTGAGATCTATCTCATGCTACATCTGCTTGTGTGCCCACCATGCTTTTGTAAAAAATGGTTTGTCAGCTTGAGCATCCTGGCCAAACTCCAGCTTGAGAGTAATCACACATCGCCTCCCCAAATTCCCCTGGAGTTTCAGTTTAGATAAGCCAGAGAGATCGACTTTCTATCCCAACTGTTGCTAAGCTGGGCACCGTTCAGGTTTTGCTCTACTTTATTTGCTCCACAGCTACATTTTACTGAGAATGCTCCTCAACGGATAGTAAAGCAGTAAGCAGAGAGATGAGCCCTCTGCAGGCATCTGATGTCTCCCAGGTGCCAGAGACTAAGATCTAATTTTCACTCCAGCTATTGTAGAGCAGAAACTTGGATGCAGGTCTTACCATTCAAGTTCAGAAGCATTTCCACTTGGAATCTCGGACTTATATTCAGTAACAGCCAGGTAAAATCATAGATGGCTGATTAAATTAATTCATAAAAAAGACAGAAATGTGTCTTTATATGAGAATTTTACTGGGCAGCAGGAGGGTGGCACCTATGACACTGTCATGGCAGGAGTCACATCCTCTCACATCTAACATGAAGCATCTCTGTGGCAGGGACTCCTGACAGAACCAAAAGGGCTCACACAAGGCCTTTATGGACACATCAGGAGCAGGGATGGGCAGTTATTTCAGAGAGGGGTAACGGTGTCACAGGAGGAGGAGATACCCAAAATGCTTCACTTTCCAGTTAGTCTGTAAGTAAATCTGTAAGGATTCAGCTTACAGAAATTTCCCCTGCACCCACACTGAGAGACACATCTATAACCAAAACCCACATCACCAGTGCTAATATTCAATTTTCCAACAGCCTCGTTAGCAGTCAGTGACATCTGCACCCCGGGTTCTTGCTCTGTGGAGTATTTCCAACTAACTCAGCTGGTAGTAACAGTTTTCCAGTCCCTCTCTTTACCCAATGCACAAATAACTTAAACTTTTTCAGTCTGTGTGCTTTGCCAACACAGATATACCAATGTAAACCTGTCAGAGCAGTAAGAACCAAGTGCAGCTGTAATTCAGGCAGTGACCACAGGAAAACCTCAAAATCTCTACTCTGCTTGATGCAAAACGAGGATGTTATAGAGGTTTGTGCTCACCAGGCCACAGCATCAGGAGAGGTGACACAGGGAGGACTTGGGGAGTTCATATGAACCATGCCAGCTTCATTTGCTTCTAAACTTAGCACTGTTTGACTCCAGAGTCCAGAGGGAAGGGAATGTGAGAACAATGTCCCTCTGGTTTTGCTCACGCTGCTGCTGAAATGAAGATGACCACTGCCAAACACCGCGGTTGCTACAACAGCAGCTCATGCCTGGTAGAGTTTCCATGGCTAGTGGAAATGTATCCGAGGCACAAAAGGAAAACAGAACACAGCACCACCCCTTCCAGCACAGTCCTGGGGACAAAGAGCTCCTCCCACCCAAGGCCCAGACCCTGCACTACAGAGTCAGCAGGTGAACTTGAGCAGTGTCCCCAGAATGGGCAGCACTGCCCATATCAGCAAGGGAAAATCCTGCAGCAAGGTCAGACACTGATGGCCTCAGCTTAATATTCTTGAGCCTTGTGACAAGGGGAAACCAATACAACACAATCTGCAACTCAGTTGTGCTTTCTTTCATTTCACGGCTCTCCATGCCTCCCACTCATTCAGAGGGAGGAGTCTCCCCATCACCCTCCCATGCCATCAGTGCTATGACCTGTACCATTAATAAAAGGGCACCCAGGAGGGCACCCAAACCAGGGAATATTGGGATACAGACACCCCAGTACTGTAGGACCTCCCAGTAACTCCACCAAACTTAACTTCTCTTGCCCCAATAGGGATGGAGTGAGCACAAGGACCCCAGTGGTTTCAGGCACAAGGACCTCCCACCCTTCACCAGAGATACTCATCGCGTATCCCCATCAGCTCTCTCTCCAGGAGAGATGGAGTTGACACTGCTGTTCTGCTGTTGGGAGTTGTGGCTCTGCAACATGGGCTCTGGCTTCTCAGGGATACCTTGTCCTAGCATCCACTGCCCATGGGCACGCTGGTTGCCACATCTGGCCACGTATAGTCCCACGGAAAAACTCTCCTCTGGGAAAAACTTAAAAGTCCACGTACCTCAGAGGGCTTCTTCTCTTTCTGCCGTGACCAGGGGGATTTGGTATTCGGAATTTTGGAGCATCTGGAGATGGATGTGGTGTGACCTACAAACAAGACAACAGAGACAGGTTACATGCGAAAGAGTCAAAGCTTTTCCTTACCTTTGTCACCAGCCCCACTGCTCCAGCCTCAACCAACACTTTGGATCAGCATTAAAATGGAATTATACCTTGACATGGCTTTTTTTTTGTGCAGTATCATCACCATTGCTGCTACTCCCAAAAGGGAAGGACAGCTAAAGCCTGAAATGTGCAGGAACCACTACATTACTGATCTTTATTTCCAACCCATTTGTGTGATTATCACTTAAATGTAAGTCTGTATTTGTTAATAATAAATAACAAACTCATTATTGGAATTTCTGTATAATAAAGATGACAATTCAGTCTTCTGTATAGGAGGACCCCTCCATAGTCCAGTATATAAAAATGTTTCTGTGAGGTTGCAACAAAGTAACTAGCAATAGACCTATTTAACACTGATTTTATCCTTGGAGGGCTAAATAGGAGGAAACAACTGTGCACATAAGCAACATCCAAACGGAATGGAGCCATGTACGCAGATGTCGGGAAGGGCTCTGGCCAGAAGCTGAGCTGACTCAGGCACAAGGCTGAGGTACCACTGCAGTGGGAAACATCTGTTCTTCTACCAGCTCAGGCAGCTGAGCCCAGGTAAATTTCACATGCCTACTTTTCCTGGCAGGGGAAGATGCACCAGCTCAACCTGTATTCTTTACTTGCAGTGCACTTTCTTGTACTTCACAAAATGAAGACCAAATATGGGGGCATTACCTGTTCCCAAAAGGCAGCTTGTTCTTTGAAATGTCAGGCCAGATGTTACTAAACAGAGTTCCATATAAATGAAATGCTTTGTACCATTTCTGAGCATAACAGGACTGTGTAGACAAAGCCCAGGGCAGACATCCCTATGCTGTAGCCCCATGGACACACTGCTTTACTCAGCGAGCTGCTCCAAGGAGTGCAACAGCAGTAGCTCCACAGCTTTCATGGAGAGATCAGACACTAATTTCCACCTAGCCCCTTCTTCTCAAGCTACAGTGTGATGCTACAGCTATTCAGGCTTGGATAACACAACTACTGTTTCCCGGCAGAGGCATGAAAAATAAGGTCACCACTCTGTTTACAACTATCCAGAAGGAGAGCATTTGTCAACAGCTCAGATATCACCTGCAGCATAAATATCCAAGTCCCATAGAGATAAGGCTATGTTGTTTAATACCATGATTAAAGATGCCTTACCCCCGAAAGGCGGTGAAACCAGCGAGCACAGCTCAGTTCCATAAGCTTTTGAGCATCTAGGGATTAGGAAATGGGAAGTTTGGAGCATGGCTTCCAAAACAAACCCCTTTCTGAGATAGAGATGTTTCATTTTAGGAGAAGCGAGTGGTGTTGAGAGCCTGAAACACTTTCTATAGGCATAGCTCAGCCCCCAGGTCCCCCAGGGCTTCAGCAGGATGGGGGTCCCCACTGGCAGCCAAACAGCAGGTTCCAGTTGGCAGTTGTGGTGCAAACTGACAATTATTTTGGCTAAAGCTGTGGGAACAGCAGCCAAACCCAGCAAGATCAACCTTTGCATAACCCCCTGTAATATCTCCATCATCCTGTTAGGAAAAAGCCCAGAAGTTAAGTGTCTTTAGTAAAGTCCCTTTTGTTCTCGGATATCCAGCAGCCAGATCCTGTAAAGTGTGGAGAGCAAATTGCCAGCACAGCCCAGATGAAATTACTGTGACATTTGTAGGAAACCAAGAGCAACTAGTAAGAAACTCCAGAGTCCAGACAAGGGATTACGCTGGTGCCTTGAAAGCACTGCGGTATGTCTGCAGTGGGTGAAACCCTGGGATAAGTGGGAGAGGAGAGTGCTCTATTTATAGCTAAAATTCAGCACATTTGCACATGTTTATTGTTGAACACAGGCTTCTGTGCCTTCCTGAATGAGGATGAAGTGAGGTAGATGCTGAAAAGCAAGCGTGGGCTTGCAAGTTTTGCTGGCTTGAGCCTTACCCTTTCCCCACATCACTCTTCACTTTGCAAAAAGGGAACAACGCGGCTCCAGTTTGACTCCAGTAAAAACTTCCCTTTCCCCTGGTACAACCCAAATCAAGAGCAAACTAGTCTCAGGCTGCAGCTCACAGGAAAGGACAACTCATCTACAAAGGGTGTTTGCCGCTTCATTAGCACATCTGCAATCAGCAGCTCTCCTCACACCCAGACTCCTGACAGAGGGAGATATTCTCATCTGCTAAGAGGAGCCACAGCCAAGTGCTTAAATAAATTGATATCAGCTTGTTGCTGCATTTCTGATAAACCCAGCCTTGCACACTATTCATTGTGCAGAGACTTCCCAGTAAATGCAGTTTCCTCCACTCTTTGCAAAGTAATTATTCAAGCATTTTGACTGCTGGAAGTGAATCTTTTCAAAGCTTTGAATTAAAGGTCTTACTGTCAGTGGTGTCTGAGTTATCACTGCTGATGGAGTACTTGCGTCGTTTTTCTTCCATCTGTAACAAAAGAAATTGAACATTACACTTTGTGTCGAGAAAACTCATCTTAGCACCAAAGCAGTGCTATCTGAATATTTGCACACCCTCTTATCCCAGCACCAGTCAGTCCTTAACCTCAGGACAGACAACTACCCAAAGGCTGAAAAAAGCCAGAAGAAAACAATTCTCTTGGATTAAAAAAAAACCACTTTAATTGTCTTTCTATGAAACTTCCTGCTTCCAGTAGTTACAGTGGGTGCCTTTCGATCACTCAGCTTTGCATGGAAATTTGTCTATGCAATATTTGCAGCCAAATGTCTCTTTGTCTGCAAGAGCACTGCCAAGGGAAGAAGCTCCAACAGGGACCAGAGGATGCCCTACCAGATGTCCTCTGAACCACCTGTGCGAGCTGCAAAGTTAAGAAGTGTGAAAACAGAAGAATGGAAACTGCACACTCTCGGTATGTCTGTAGGGGGAAGTAAAAGCATCCCAGAGCTGAAGAGAACCCCTGTATACCACAAGCCTGGGGCTTTACCCTCTGACTCATCTTCCCATTCAGCCGGTATCTACTTCTTTCAAGACTTTTTAGACTCTTTTAAGAAGAGTATCTATCACATAGGTCAGCCTGAAGCACTTCCCATCACTGCACACTGCCCTGCCAGGACCTGCCCCCAGCAGCACTGCTGGCACCAGAGCTCCCAGGGGTGAGCAAGTGGCTTCTGCACAGTTGCTGTGACCTCTCATCCTCTCAGAGCTAAAATCACAGCAGCAGCTACCACTGTGCTGATGAGGAGACCCGTTTCAAGCTCAGCTGATTCGCTTTGAGACTTTGAACAAGCTACAGGAGCGCTTAAAATCAGCAGGTTCTCCTGAACCCTTGGGAACCAAGCAGTTGGAACTCAAAGTGCGTGCCTCAGGGAAAAAAAAAAGAAGAAAGACATTTTAACTTTTGTAGATCCAAATTTTACCAAGGTGGCTGGGTGGTTGATCAACGTGGCCCCCAATACAGGGCTTGGGCAGCTCTGGATGTAAAGAGCTACCTGTGGACCAGACAACTATACAACAGGCAGTAAGCCAAAATACATCCACAGAAAACAATCTTAACCTCATGGCAATCTTCCATGTATTTTTTGAGATATTTTCGAAGAATCTGAATGTGTCCATATGTCATACCCACTATTGCTTCCACAAATGGTAAGTGGAAAGGATAATGAAACACTGGGTTTGGGTGCTTTGGTTGCAGCAGGTCCAGACAGCAAAGAGACTGGTATAGCAAACTAGAGGATGACATTTCTCCCCATATATCAGGAAATGTTCCACATAAGTATATAAAAACTTTGTAATAGATGTATTTTAAAATATATGTGCAATCACAGCATTATAAGGGAAAATACTACAAAATATCCTAAACATTTTAACTATCAGTGTTGTGGTAAGGCATTGCTCTGTCAAAATGTGACTTAAAACACTCCCTAAGAATATGGCAATATCAATACTTTTCCCCCAGTGATTCAATGGAAAACAGATGCTATTAAACGAGCCTTGTTCCAAGTAGCCATAAGATTTTGCTTAGGGGAAATGAAATTGAAGATAGCTCTAACTGCAGCTTACTTACTTTTAGTGAAAATCCTACCTCAACCTTTTAAACTGGTTCCTACTGGTCTGAAGCGGCAAACAGACAATTGGAGCGCAAAGACAGAGCAATGCTTTTATTGATTCTGGAGTTCCTAATCACAGAGATTAAATAAGCCAAAGACAAGAGAAGGGAAAAAAAACCCACCTGAGCTGAAGCAAAGGAATGCTACTGATAGCCAGTGAGATTTCCCAGGTTTCCCATCTTTGCTTTTACAGCAAGACAGCATCACTGACATCACTCTCCTTCCAAGGCAGGGAAAAAGATTTGAAATCAATGCTCAGCACAGGCAGCAGGAGGCTAGCACTGGTTTTGGCTGACATATGTGCGATGCACTGATCATCTCTCTAACTGAACTTGGTCCCTGCATCCTGCTTCTGTCCTACAGTTGCCTACAGAATAACGCATTCTCCACGCAACAAGATAAATTGATATTCACATGCAGAAGTGGTTCATATTCCAGGTAAAAATAGCGTCTGTACTTCAGTAAATCATTTTGCCATTGTTTGGCAGGATCCAAGACAGCATCCTCCAAACCAAACAGCATTAAATTTCTGAATGAAATTCTGCCTTGAGAAAAGTACTGACATCTGAACAGCAGCACTGAAAGGCTGGGCAGGGTATGGCACACAAGGCACTATGTGCCTGAAGGGAGCAAAAGTTTTGGCCAAAACCAGGCCATTCCAGGAAATGGTAACATTCCAGGCCGTGCTAAAAAGATACTGTTTTCTGAGGGACCCATCCTGAGCAGCCAAACAGTAGTAAACCGCTGGTACTTAAGAGAGGAATTTACCGTAGAAGGGTTATTTGGGCGGTTTCCCCACCTGTATCCCAGAGTTATGAAGTGTGATGGATGGTGGCTGAGCACCGTTTTGGTACCCGCCGGGGGGCAGGGGGCAGTGGACGCCGAGGGGCGGGGGGCGAAGATAGGACCTACTGCCCAACATCCCTCCCAGGGCTGGAGCTTCAGCTCCCAAAAGCTCTCAGGAGCAATTCAGTTGGTGAACTACTGAGCAACTTAAGTCCCCACAAAATATGGTCTCTGCTCCAAAATCTTTTGTTTACATTAGAAGTTAATTTCACCTTTAACTGATCCATTCCCCACATGGCATCTTTAATAAAGTCCTAAACAAATACCAAAAAAATTTGTAATACTTTGAAAAGGTCACTGTTAGGTCAAACTTCGCCCAAAATCTAGTTTTTACAGAGTCAAAAACCAAGTGAAAGGTTTCTATGCAGGCTTGCTTAAAAAATTCAAACAGAAACAGATGTGGATTTCTTTTATAAGCAAATGAACATCCCCCTGAAGTGTCTGCAACTTAAATCCACAGGCATAGCCCTGGCTAATGCCTTGAAACCAAAAACTGAACTGCTTGCAAACCAACACAGGTTTAGCATTGCCTTTGTTCAAGCTGAGAAATGCAGATAAATGCTAAATCAAGGAAGATGATGGCCCTTCATCAGCCTAAACACATGTAAATCACTATGTCCTTGGACAAATTAGCACCACGATTTGTGTTAAAATGGAGATGATGGCCTGAGGCTGTCTGGTCCTGCCTCACAGTAGGGGAAGATTGGAGAGGAGCTGTTGGGAATGCAATTTTGCCCAGCCCATGCAACCGGGGAGAGGTGAACGCAACTACTCCTGGCACACAGAGATGCCTGTGCCCAGATCCTGAGCTCAACTGGGCAGGATGCCAGATACAGGCACCCACTCCCATCCACACTAAACCGAAACGCCTCATCCAGCCTTCAGCTAGTACAGAAATCTTTCCCTGCAGACCCCTCCACGAGCCCTGTGCTCTGGGGAACCCCCTGATGCTTCCCAGCTCCCTGCAAACTCATCTGCACATCAAGCCCACGTGCGATTTGGAGATTTTTTGTGGCATCCTAGCACCCTGTGCTGAGGCTGTTTCCACAGTTTCCAAGAACGAATTATTCTGAATTGTGGCAAGCAAATAGAGAAATTCATAGATGCCTGTGCTCCCCACTTCCACAGGGAATAGGCACAGAAACCTGCATAAGTTGCAGGAAAAAAAAAAAAGAAAAAAAAAAAGTATTTGGTCATCACCTCTTCCCAGCCTCCCCGCGGTTGAGGGATGCGCCTCGCTCGGTCCCCGTGCCGTCACCTCTGACGCTGTGAGCAACACCGGCTGAATGATGTGCTCTGTTTGTGAGCTGCAATGAGACTGCAGAAAAACCACTTCCCTGTTTGTTCTTCCAGCCCAGAAAAGGAACACAAACAGAAGATAGTGCCCCCAGCGGCACGCACACGGCTCCGGCCACCGACCCCGCGCCGGGGACGCCGTCCTGCATCCGTCCCAGTGCCTGTGCCCGCCGGCTGACACCGAGCCATGGGGTTGCTCCTCACGCATCCCCTCAGCCTTAAAAGTGTTTTTCCTATGTCTAGGAACACCAGCCAGCTGTTAGAAAGTCTAATAAAAAGGGTGGAGGGCTGGAACATCCCAGTCTGTACACCGTGGGAGGGTTGTCCTTGTCCCATTGCCTTTTCCCATGAACAAATTCTGGAGCCAAGTGCTGCTACAGGAGGCTCTGAGATAGCAGCAGCATCCCCCAAATTGGCACAGCCCCAATTTCATAGTAACAGAAGAGCAATCTTTTGAACCAAAGGATGCACAGCAGCGGGGACAACAAGACCTGCAGCAAATCATGGTGCTCAGCCCCTACATCTGGGAGGAAGCTTTTCCTAACCTCCCTGATAGCCCTGCAAAGCGTGAACGCTAAAGGGCAGGATCCTGGTACCTAGAACAACCATTTTCTGGGCAGGAGCCTGCCCCTGCCTGCCGGGACTCGTCTGTCCCTCACCTCCTCTACAGGCTGCTGCCAGCTCCAGCTTCACAGCAAAAGCTCAGGTGCCCAGGTAAGGAGTAAGCCCTCCCTCCTCTCCTCCCTATCAACTTTGCTGTCTTGGCTCCTCGGGGCAAAATTTAATCTCATTTCAATTTAAAAGAAAACAAGCCCTCGTTTACTTTACTTCCTGTGCTTTGCCTTTCTCCACATCTACAAGGGGATTTTTTTTTCTTTACTACTCCCATTTATAATTTTACTTGCCCCTTTTGACTCGTTACCTTCTAATTACCTATTTTTTGCTTTAGCAAGCCCAGACAGAGCACAGGTAAACAGAAAGGTTACTGGGGGCACTGGGGCTACCCCTGCCTTGCAGGGGAAGGTGCAGGCAGGGACACAGGGCACGAGAAGGGACACCAGGCACAGCTCCATACCGAGCCAGCTGCCCCACCCTGCAGGTCTCTTGAATATAAAAAACTCAGAAGATATCAACAGGAGCTACAGACACTCCAATCTTTTGTGAAAACCCACAGAAAGGTAAAGACCAGACCTGATCTGAAGGACCACCCACCCACCAACTTTCAGAACTTGGTTGTCAAACACTATCAGCAGACATCAATACTGTAAAGGAATTGCATCTCCTTGCCTACAGACCCCTCAACGTTTACCCTCCACCCTTTGCTCTAAGCCTGTATTTTTGAAAATCAGCCTCAATTTTCTTAAGAAAAACAAATTTAACCTTCGATTTAACCTTTCTGCAAGCTATTTTTACTCCTATCTCAAGCTTATTTTAACCCCAGTAGCCAATAAATGCTTAAAGGTCAAACACCATTCCTAAAAGCTGGGCTCCTTACCCCTAGAGAGAAGGCTGAGATCAGATTTTTTTCCCCCCAAGCAAAATCTCCTCTTAAAAATGTCCAAGCGGTCGGAGGGTCCTGGCTCAAGACCTTCAAAACAATTTTCATTGTGGGGGCTGAAACGGCACTGAGAATTTCCCCTGCGAATGCCATACCATCCTTCTCTTCCCACTCAAAAAGCGCTCACAATGTATAGGTATGGAGAGAGAGAATTTTTTTTTCCCCCTAATTGCGATCGAGACTGACAATTTAGCAGCCTCCCGCCTTTGCAGCGCTTCCCAACTTCCAGCTCGCTGCTCCCACCCAGGGAGCGGGACAGCCCGGGGAGGCGCTCCCAGCCCAGCATCCTGACTGGGAAGCGGCTCGGCAGGTGGGGAAGGGGCAGGAGCGCGGCGGGGGCGGCGCGGGCGCCGCCAGCTTCCCCGAAGGATGCAGGAGGGAGCCTGGGGAGGGGGCAGGTGGCCGGGAAGAGAAGGGGAGGCGGCCCGGGGGGACAACGGCGCGGCGGGACGCGGGATGTTTCTGAGCGCGGGTGATCCAGTGGCACGGTGCTGCGGGCGAAGGCGGCGGGGAAAACCCCGCGGTGGGGAGGGAAGGGAAGGGGGGGAGGAAGGGGAGGGCAAGCGGGAGCCGGCAGCCGCCACGCCCCCGGGCACCGCCATCCCGGCCCCGCGCAGCGCTCCGCGCCCGCGGCCCCGCCGCTCTCGAGCGCGCTGCCGCCGCCGAGCCCCTGCTGCCCGCCGGAGCCCGCGGGGCGTCCGGGAGTCCCCTCCTCTCCCGGCGGGTAGGACGCGGGGCCGCTGCCGCAGTCATTAATTCGGAGAATAAAGGAGTGAAGCGGCGAACCGAGCCTTGAAAAGTTCTTGTTTACGTCCCCGCCGCCTCCCTCCCGCACTTCCAAAGGAGAGTGACCACAGTGCGCCATCCGCCCCGGGAATGCTGCACATCCCCCGCCCGGCAGCCGGGGGAGGGAGAGGAAAAAATAAATAAAAAGAGACATAAATACAGCAAAACCAGGGGGAGCTGCAAAATAACCATCCGCTGCAAACCCAACCCGCTCCCGCCGCCACCCCGCCGAGCCTTTACCTTGGCCAGGAGTGTCCGCCCGGAGTTGCGCCGGTCTCTGGGGTGACAGGCGGGAGGAGGCGGGGGCGGGGGATGCTCCCGCAGTCCCCGGCCGGGAGAGCCCCCTCGGCGGCTCAATCCGGTGTCATTGCCGGGGCCGCGCCGCCCGGGCCCTCCTTAGGAGCGCCTGCCCGGTAACTCCATGGATGCGGCCCCGCTCCCAGCCGAGATGGCCGCTCCGCCGCGGCCGGGCGAGCCCTGCCCGCCTGTTTCTCTTTCTTTTTCACCCCGCACTTCCTCCGGCGCTCCGCGCCCCGCCGCCGCCCGGGCTCCGGCTCCGGCAGGGAGGCGGGGAAGCGACTTTCGGAGCGGGGACGGATAATGGTGGCG